GTCAATGCCTATTCATACAGTATATCTAGGAGTCCTTTAACCTTATCCACTGGATAAGGTTAAAGGACTTTTTGAGGATGATCACAGAACTATGACGTGAATACATTTAATTTTTTTGTCTCAGAATCGAGGTATTTCGACAGACAATTGATAGACATAACAAAACTTGATTGCAAATACCAGACATGATGGCACTTTCGTTATTTTTCTGGATTTTTGCAACATACTTTCTTCAAGCAACTTGTATGAGTAAATTGCATAGCCGTAGTACCGTTTGAGAAAAAAAGAAAAAAGTGAAATTACAAATTAAAGAAATCAACATCGTACATTTGATAAAGCTGCCTCAACTGTCGTCTATAAATAGTATTTTCCCTACATTTAGTTAGGTGTTACCGGAGAGTTTTTTGAAAAGGTTGTTAAAGACTCCATGGATCTTCGGGTTTTCACAGATAAAAGGAAAAGTAGTTTTTAATTTTAATACAAAATTTTTAAGGGAGAAAGTTTTAAAACACTCGAAGGATCTAAAATTTCGAAAAATCCTCGTTTCAATAAAATTCAGATATTTTTATTTCTAGTTTTTCTATCGTTTTTAAAGCATTTTTTGCAGATTTAGCATTTAAAACTGAATATGAGAATGATGCTTGATCGAGGTTGAAATCAAAGGTCTATCTGGTATGGATGTACCAATGTACGTATCATAGAAAGATATTGTCACACTTTAAGATCATTTGTATTCTCAAAAAGTTAGACTGATACTAAAACAACATTCGGTACTATGATTTTACAAGGTATACGAAATGTAGTACCAGTTGGAAAAGTATGTCACGTCACTTTATCTTCCTTGTTTAAAACTTAATGATATAATAACAATACAAATAATAATAATAATAATAATAATTAAAACTTAAATGTAATAATAATTACATTTAATGTTCGAAATTCGATAAAAGTTGATCCAGATTTTGGTAGAAAAGAATTATTAAACAAATTCGTTCAAGATGTGGAATATATATTACTTTTATTAAATAATCAATATTCAAAGTCAAATATTGAAAAAGAAATTACCGAACAATTACATTTTTTAAAAGGTGAATATGAAGAAACTGTCAGTAGAACACATATAAAGAAAGAACTTTGTTGGAAACATATCATATTATTAGTATTAGATTCGAAATAAATTTAAATGTCGATGAGAAATACAACGATTGATTAAACTCCAACTTTGAACATACATTTCAAGTTAACGACAACGCAAGCCAGGATGACCAAGAAAATATAGAAAATATAACTGACATATCTGTCGATGACCAATTAACACTTGAGTTCGAAAAGCATGTCAACTATATTGCTATTTCCATGTCTTGTAAATTAATTTTACAATTCCCCGTAAATCAGCAGCAAATATTCCACAAATAGTACCAGCAAGAAAATCTCAAATACTGCAATGATCAGTTCATTCAGAGATGGTAATATTCTTTTTGTCTCATCTAATCTCATACCACGGTGATTATCACAAGCTGGATAGTTATTCTTCAACAAGTTTCTATCACTGACGGTTAAAGTAACAGCCTTAATAGATTATTTGATGAACTCCAGAATAGAGCTTAGAATGCATATTTGTTTTTATCATGCACCATGTTGTTCCACAATATATCTGTAGAACCGACGAGACTTAGGTCTCGTTCTTAGAGAAAGGAAAGAAAGCTGAAGTAAACATATCGCAAATAGGCATGCAACAATACAAATCATTATTGAAGATATTGTACAATATTAGAGGGTAATATTGTGTTGCACAACACACTGAATTCCGACTTTTTAACCTTAATATCGTTTACATTCATAAAAACGTGATCAAGCATATCCCAATCGGGATTAGGCATGCACTGATTAATAATCAATGTTGGGGCATTCAACAAAGTAGTCCCAAATCAGTTATAAAGAAGCATTTACAGCTGCCGAATATCTCATTTTGTAGAAAAATGTTTGCTCTACCAAATTGAATTGCTTGAAAAATTTTGATGTTATACAGAGAAAAAATATGATAAATGGAAAACGCACTAAAATCGCAGAAAAATAATTGCTAAAGCCCTAATTTTCGCAAAACTGGCTTTCGGTAGATTTTTAAAACTTTTTCCAAAAACATATTGCCACGAGACTCAGCATAGCCTGCTATCCATAGTCCATCCGTCTTTGAAGCTGCGAAGAGTCACCGGATGCCAGTCCTGGGACTGGTCGGAAATTCGATACAACGCTCGAACCGCAGAAAATCAAGGTCTCATTTTACTCCCATTTTGGAGAGAACACTTCGGGCTATCAGCCCATGAAAATTCTATTTTTGTGGCTATAAACACAAAACTCGAGCTTTGAAGTGATGGATGCATGTGATTCGTTCTGCAATGATGTTGGCACGTCGTTCGATCAAGTTAATCATAGCTGGAGCTAATCTTTGATCAGCTGGAAGTGACCGTTGATTTTTTCGCATTTGCTGGATGCCATCGTTGTGCTCCTGTTGATAGTGCTGCATCTGAGTCGTGGCGGCACTAACATAAAGGTTGCACATGTCCGTTCTCGATTGCTCGATTGCTTTTTTGTATTCGCTGTACAGTTGTTTTCTAAGATCTTCATGATCGAGAGAATCAAACAAAGGCACGCGTGATATCGGCAGGCTGTCAAACAGTGAAAGTGAATTGTAACAGGTGATTCTTTTTTTCTGCCGTTCTAATTCATATTTAGTCAGTTCGTGCTGCTGTCGAGCTACACAGAACCGATTGGCGAGGTCTATCTGGAAATGGGAACGAAACAATAGAGATGTATCCCTTTCTTGATTACATTACTTGAACTGTAGTGGATTGGTGTTGTAGATATTGCAGTTCCACGATTCGTTTACCATATTCGTAACGCAGCAGCTGTATTTTATGTTCAAGTTGGAGACGCAAATCAGTTAGAGCCTCCTCAATAAACGTCTCAATCGTTTGTCGAATGATGAGAGAATCATTAGGTAAATGTCTTATTTGATCGTGTAGATAAGTTTGCGACTGTTCGATTTCCTTTTCTAATACACCAAGACGTTTCTTGACAAGGTCATGGCAAGCATTCTCCTCTTGGACACCGGAACGAATATCCGTTTTCACCGTCGCCTTGACAGATCTCGGCTATAAGTTTAGCTGTAGCTGATTTGAGTAATACTTTGTTTTGAGTTTGCCCAATCCAGATCGCAAATAAACAGTCCAAAGTGAATGCAAAATCTCATTATACCTAATCTGATGCATGTAAATGGTCACTTGTCGAACATGTTCGCGTTTGCTAGTTGTGATTGTATTCTTCAGTAAGATGGAATCGAGAAATGGTTCGAAGAATTCACTTGTTTTAGACAAACACTCGGGACAATGTTCGATGGCAGCTATGTCGACATTGATCGATATTAACTTCAATGGAATTTTCGAACTTGCATTGGATGAGTCATCGACAACAGTGCAGGAAATCGATTGTCTTCTAGTGCTTGATCCTAGTGATCATACAGTCGACAATCGATTGAGATTCAATCCGCCTGATGATTTCCCTAGCCGGGTTGAAATCGCGATAGCGGAAGCTCTATCTCATCCTCACCCTCGGATAAAGATCGACGTTTAACGTGTTAACGATGATGGAAATGATTTATGAATTTGAAATAAATAACAAACGATCAGCATAGAAAAATGTAACTAGATCAAATTACAATTTCGATAAATAAATAACATAAACTCTTGTGAGCTAATCCTTATTGGAAATATGATCGACATTTCCAACAGACATATATTCCAGTTAAATCAGTTATGAAAGATGAGAATCATGTTAAATGACGAAAAATGATTAAGAAAATAATCAAGTAAAAATAAACAAATGCCAAAAATGAAAATAACAAGCGGATAACAAGAATGGGAACGAAAATAAAGCACTCATATAAAGAAAACGAAGTCTGTTCGAAATATCAAACTAAGGAAAATTTATGCTCTGATGACAGCCTAGATTAGATAGTAATAACAGTATCAAATGGATTACGAAAGGCATACCTGAGTTCCATATTTCAGCTCCTTCGGAGCTGTGCTAACTAGCTTTTTCTCTTTCTTTCATCTCTCTCTTTAACCGAAACAACGAGAAAATAGTCCAAGGTGAATTTCCGTTTCGTCGAAAGCTTAATTAATTTTCCTGTTTCTTCGAAAATAAAGCTTTAGCTGTTTCTATTTCATCGAAAAAATAAAACTTGAAGTAGAATATAGATTATTCTAATTAATAAGGTTTTTATAAACAGACTAATTAAAAAGAATGCTGACTTTAAATTATTGTTTTGAAAAATACATTATTAGAGAACGAAACAAAACAAGTGATAATAAAAACAAAAGTCAAAATTTTTTGATACCAATTAATCGCATCACTTTTTCAAGATATTCTTCCAGTGTTAAGGTTTGTTGTTTATAACGATTTTCTAAATCGTGTAATCGTACATTTCGATTCACAAATAGTTTTTTTCTTGGTGGTATTGCGCCGGTGGCTGTATGACGTGATGATATTGCTGAATTATAAGCATAATCGTTTTGAATTGCACGAATAAATGCTGAACCCATAGCTCTACCTCGAATTTGTTTATAATATTTATTGTAAGCAAAATAATCGTTTTCTAAAATTAAACGAGCCATTTTCCAAATATGATCTATACTTAATGTAGCAGTTTTGCCATATTTAGAGTATTTTTCTAAAAATCGTATGAAAACTTCTCTTTTACGTTCTCGTGGTATTACAGTATACAGATTTTTAACATTGGCTATAATAAATTTTGTTGTCACTTTCAAATAACCATTTGATATATATTTTTCTAATTTTTGTACCACTTGAACACTATTAGTAAAGGTTATTTCACGAGCAACTTGTAAATAGATTGGTGCTAATAAATTATTTAGAAATTTAGATATTAACGCAGTTGGACAATTGATACCAGCTATGATTGATCGCATTGGTATATCAGGCTGTAAAATAGAAAAAAACAAAAATAGAAAATAGCATGCAGCAAAAAGAAAGACAAATAAAAATTCTACCTTATGTACTTTAGGTAAAGCATGAAGATGAGATAATTCTAGTTTAACTAAATTAGGTAAAAGTTTCTGATATTGTTCTTTTGTTATTGCTTTTTGTTTCAAAGATAATCCAATAAGTTTTGTGTAGCATATAAAATATCAGCTAATGGACAATGACCATCTATAATCTCTTGATACGCTTCTGTTTTATCCATATATTCTTGTACTTTAGCGATTATTGTTGCAGCATTACCTATATAGAATCCTGGACTTTTATAGATTCGACATATAATAATATCAGATCGTTGTTGTAGAAGACATTTTACTCTTCTATATTCACGTTTAGCACGTCGACGTAATTGTCTTGATAATGATTTTGAATATAGATCATGTATAATACGTTCCAGCTTGATTTGCTCGTACATCAGTAATTGGCATTCGATTATTATCAAGACAATTTTTCATATTCAATTTTGACATGTTCATCGATTGAATGTCGAGAAAATAAACTTTGGGATGGTATAATATATTTTAGACCATTAGTTAATATTAATATTTCTTCTAATGTTAAATTTAAATCAATATCAAGAAATGGGAATGATGCACATAATTTTGAATAGATAAAAATATTGCTCCGACGGTGATTTTTTATAAAATATTGTTGTCCACCGCCGGGGCCTCGTCGAAAAAAGACTTCAGTTTATATTGATGTATACGAAAAAATCTTTGTATCATTGCTTGACGACGTTCTTCAATAGCATCGACTAATAAATTTGTATAAACAAGTGGATTTTCTCTATTCAATTCTGATAATTGTTCTTGTAAACTATGTAATATTGATTGATGATGACGTATGACACTTTGAAATTCGTCTAATTGTTCAATCATCAAATTAAATTTGCATTGTTTAATTATTTTTGAACGTTATCATAACTCTTACTATTGAGCATCAATAAACCCCGTTTTTGACAGGCTTTCATTTGGTATAGAATTCATTATTTAGTCTATTTGAAATGATAGCCGTATCTTCGTATGAAAATATTATTTTCAACCTAGTAATATAGATGATATAATGGAATAGCGGTCACCTATACTAATATTCCACGAAACCAGTAATATACAGAGTTATTTTTCTGCAAATTAATCTAAATCGACTGCGTCGAAAGGCAAGATCCCCTAATCCATTCAACCGACTAATAAACAGGCATCTGATGTCATCGTCAAACGGTGAGCACGTTTTTCACACGAACTTCGACTGTATGAGCATCTCGTATTTCTTCGAATTAGAAAGATAAATGTTTGAAACTGCCTTAGAATATCTATCAAGTTGATTTTTATCAGGCTGAAATTATACAGATTATGTGAATTACCCGGTCAGACTCTGAAATGAGGTCGAAACTCATCCTCACACATTCTTGAATCTGTGACAATACCTTTGAACTCATTGAAAAAAAGCCTTTATTGAAGTGTTGATGGATCTCACGTCAGTGTGATACTCAAAAATATATGTCAGACAAATGCTAGCAGTGTGTATTGTTAGTATGATGTTCAGGTGAAAAAAAAGGTATTTGATGCAATAAAAGCTAAAATTGTTTTTTTTAAAGTGTCAGTCTTTCTTAAGCATACCATTGATTGGCCTTAAGACATTGATTTGATTGTAAACGTAATAAACAATATAATTATTTCAGATTAATAAATAAAAAAGAATGTTCCTGTGCGCTCTGAGCTCAAGTTGAACTAACAATGACGTTTACAACCTAAAATATTGAAAAATAAAGGTTAATTTCTCATCCTGGCCTTCAATTCTAGTGAAGAATGAAGGTAAATGACTTACATCCACAGCGAACTCCAATAACCAAACACGGAAAGTAGCATACCATACAAAATGATTGAGCTAAACATTGTAAACATCGGTTGTTTTCTAGTAAATTTTTGTTTCGTTCTTGAAGAAGAGAAGGATATGAATTACCGGAAGGACGTGGTTCTGTAGTCATAGGTGCTAATTCAGTCAAATTTTGATCGTTTGCCGACATTTCGAGTTTTTTTTTAATTCGAACTGAATTAAAAAAAACAAAAGATTTGATACACTTTGATTCGACGTCAAATGACAAAACTAATGATGATCTAAAATTTTAAATCAAATGAATTTTATCATCATTTTAGTTGTATAAATGATCTACTACAATAATAGTCTCTTCTTCACTTCTGTATGAATATGAAAACATTCTTTTATTTCAACAGTAATTAAATAACTGTTTCCAATTTTCTTTATTCAATATGAGGAACTCATGCGTAACCGACGAACAGAATGACGATTGCGATGTTGATTTTTGCCGTGGTAGATGTCAGATTTTCTTTCCGAATGAATGAGAGACTAATGAAAACACTCTTCGAGTGTTTTCATTTCGCTGCATATTCTTACTACTTCAGGTGAATCGAAAAAGAAAAAATATGAAATATGTTCTTGGATTTTTCTTTGACACTACAGGTGGGTGTTTTCAAAATATCGGGCGCAAGCTGCGAAAATGATGAGTCATCGCTCTGAAGGATATGAAAAAATGTATTGATGAAGCGGTGGAGTATTATACTATCGCCTTCTTTTCTGCAGTAAAGAGCGGCCAATAAAACAGAAACATGTTATTTGTACAGGACGACGTATGATTTTGACGTAGAACTATTGTTTGGGATCACTCGGTAGGCCATTAATTCCCTAATACGCATTAAACGATTATAGAATTTGACACTCATATTTCACACTGTTTGGACTAGGTTAGTTCCCGTTTCGTCGAAAGCTTAATTGATATTTCTGTTTCGTCGAAAATAAAGCTTTAGCTGTTCCTGTTTCGTCGAAAAATAAAACTTGAAGTATAATATAGATTATTCTAATTAATACAGTGTATTGAAAAAAGTAGAGTATATATTATTCTAATTAATGAGGGTTTTCTGAGCAGATAAAAAGAATGCTGAACATGAGCACTTGCATTCATGCCACCGCAAGAAGTTGAAAAAATATGGACATTGATTATGGATCAGTTTCAAGATATTGAGCATATTGAGGTATTTTACGATTACGTCACAAATACGTGGGTGGATGATGATGCGTTGTTCGATTTATCATTGTGGAATTATTTTGAGTTTAAAAGTTCAAGAACAAATAATAGCTTAGAAGGTTGGCATCATCGATTAAATACTGATTTAAATCATATCATACATCCACATTTTTATATGTTTATTCGTGCAATTCAAAACGATTATGCTTATA